AGTTTAGATGTGAGCTTCAGGAGAAAAGTTCAGTGTGATATCAATCAATAAATCCTTCTCTATGTTCGTTTCATGAAGGATTTAATCTCCCATTTGATATCTTGTGCCTGGCCTCCAGGAGCCCCTTTTGGGCGGCACTGTGCGGCCCAGACCTTTACCATGATAACACGGCGCTCATCCTTTAGTTATCCTTTGTAGATATAGTTAATTAAAGTGGGGGGAAAGGGGGGAGAAAGAGAGTACTAAATCGTCAGGGTGCACACTCACACTCTCCAGGACGGACTCACACTCACCAGGACGGACTCACACTCACCAGGACGGACTCACACTCACCAGGACGGACTCACACTCACCAGGACGGACTCACACTCACCAGGACGGACTCACACTCACCAGGACGGACTCACACTCACCAGGACGGACTCACACTCACCAACACGAACTCACACTCACATGGACGGACTCACACTCACCAGGACGGACTCACACTCACCAACACGAACTCACACTCACATGGACGGACTCACACTCACCAGGACGGACTCACACTCACCAGGACGGACTCACACTCACCAGGACGGACTCACACTCACCAGGACGGACTCACACTCACCAGGACGGACTCACACTCACCAGGACGGACTCACACTCACCAGGACGGACTCACACTCACCAGGACGGACTCACACTCACCAACACGAACTCACACTCACATGGACGGACTCACACTCACCAGCACGGACTCACACTCACCAACACGGACTCACACTCACATGGACGGACTCACACTCACCAGCACGGACTCACACTCACCAGGACGGACTAACACTCACCAACACGGACTCACACTCACCAGGACGGACTCACACTCACCAGGACGGACTCACACTCACCAGGACGGACTCACACTCACCAGGACGGACTCACACTCACCAGGACGGACTCACACTCACCAGGACGGACTCACACTCACCAGGACGGACTCACACTCACCAACACGAACTCACACTCACATGGACGGACTCACACTCACCAGCACGGACTCACACTCACCAACACGGACTCACACTCACATGGACGGACTCACACTCACCAGCACGGACTCACACTCACCAGGCCGGACTAACACTCACCAACACGGACTCACACTCACCAGGACGGACTCACACTCACCAGGACGGACTCACACTCACCAGGATGGACTCACACTCATCAGGACGGACTCACACTCGCCAGGACGGACTCACACTCACCAGGACGGACTCACTCACCAGGACGGACTCACACTCACATGGACGGACTCACACTCACATGGACGGACTCACACTCACCAGCACGGACTCACACTCACCAGGACGGACTCACACTCACCAGGACGGACTCACACTCACCAGGACGGACTCACACTCACCAGGACGGACTCACACTCACCAGGACGGACTCACACTCACCAGGACGGACTCACACTCACCAGGACGGACTCACACTCACCAGGACGGACTCACACTCACCAACACGAACTCACACTCACATGGACGGACTCACACTCACCAGCACGGACTCACACTCACCAACACGGACTCACACTCACATGGACGGACTCACACTCACCAGCACGGACTCACACTCACCAGGACGGACTAACACTCACCAACACGGACTCACACTCACCAGGACGGACTCACACTCACCAGGACGGACTCACACTCACCAGGATGGACTCACACTCATCAGGACGGACTCACACTCGCCAGGACGGACTCACACTCACCAGGACGGACTCACTCACCAGGACGGACTCACACTCACCAGGACGGACTCACACTCACATGGACGGACTCACACTCACCAGCACGGACTCACACTCACCAGGACGGACTCACACTCACCAGGACGGACTCACACTCACCAGGACGGACTCACACTCACCAGGACGGACTCACACTCACCAGGACGGACTCACACTCACCAACACGGACTCACACTCACCAGGACGGACTCACACTCACCAGGACGGACTCACACTCACCAGGATGGACTCACACTCACCAGGACGGACTCACACTCACCAGGACGGACTCACACTCACCAACACGGACTCACACTCACCAACACGGACTCACACTCACCAGGAGGGACTCTCAAGAGGGCGGTCTCGTATTCACCAAAGGCTTTAAGAGACACCCCCCCCCATGATATATGAGGGTTCAACCCTTATATGAATTTGCATATATTAAATATTAAAGAACACAAAGAGAGTTTATTCTCTCTGCGAGTCAGCAAAAGTTGCAACATAAGAATTCTGTCTACACTAATGTGTTTCTTCTCCTTAATGATGTCCAAATTAACATTTTGTGTCACACAGAAGACCGTGGGACAACTTTAAGGTTTCCGTTGCTTTTACTCTCGACGTGCAACGCGTCGGGTGCTGTCGCCGCTCAGACAAATTGCAATTATGTCGTGTTTTTCCTGCAATTCTTCCCCTGGGGGGAGGTTCTTCTATTATATGAGTGGTAGATGCGCCACACTTCCCACACCTCCACCCCCAGGCCTTCCCTCTCAACCTACCTCCACCCCCAGGCCCTCCCCACAACCTACCTCCACCCCCAGGCCTTCCCTCTCAACCTACCTCCACCCCCAGGCCCTCCCCACAACCTACCTCCACCCCCAGGCCCTCCCCACAACCCACCTCCACCCCCAGGTCCTCCCCACAACCTACCTCCACCCCCAGGCCCTCCCCACAACCTACCTCCACCCCCAGGCCCTCCCCACAACCCACCTCCACTCCCAGGCCCTCCCCACAAGCTACCTCCACCCCCAGGCCCTCCCCCACAACCTACCTCCACCCCCAGGCCCTCCCCACAACCTACCTCCACCCCCAGGCCCTCCCCACAACCCACCTCCACCCCCAGGCCCTCCCCACAACCCACCTCCACCCCCAGGCCCTCCCCACAACCCACCTCCACCCCCAGGCCCTCCCCACAACCCACCTACTTGTGGGTTGACACCCATGACACCCACAGCTCCCTGACAAGAGGGAGCAAGCTCAGTTTAGCTGCCAACACCCCACATCGTGTCAGCAAGGCGGACCGTCCGCCTTCTTTCATAACTCATACTGAATGTCCCATTTCTAAACTTATTCCTTCACCAGTACCAACTCTTTACTCAATTCTTATTTTCACAAAAGAATGTGACCACCACCAGGTCACCCATCACATGCCCCACACATGGTGAAACGACCCTTGGGCACTCGAGGCCTGGCCACAGACCTGCCCACAGGCCTGCCCACAGACCAGCCCACAGGCCTGCCCACAGACCTGCCCACAGGCCTGCCCACAGACCTGCCCACAGGCCTGCCCACAGACCTGCCCACAGGCCTGCCCACAGACCTGCCCACAGGCCTGCTCTCAGACTTGCCCACAGGCCTGCCCACAGTATTTATTTTACCGGCGTAAAGGTAATAGAGGCAAAGGCGAGGGAAAGGTTTAGATATGGGAAATATAGCGAGTTATGAAAGCAGGCGGACTGTCCGCCTTGCTGACACGATGTGTGGGTGTTGGCAGCTAAGCTAAGCTTGCTCCCTCTTGTCAGGGAGCTGTAAGCGTGTCACATACACACAACTTCGCTTCGCGTGCACTTCAGCATATAATGGATATGTATAGATGAATACATTTACATACGTATGTATGCGTGACACTGACATACACCCCGAGGCTACACAGTACCAGCCTGAGAAACAAGACGTCTGACCTTCCCTCCAATACTGCCGTGAAGGAGCACTGGCGTGTCTCCACTACCTCCCCCCCCCCACCTCCGTCACCAGGGTGGGGGGGTGGGGGTCGCCCCTCAGCCATGTCTCCAAGGGTCTCCTGCCCGCCTGCCAAGATACAAAGTGGTCCCCCACACAACCCCTTGCCCAATTTGGCCTTAGACCTCGGGGGGCACTTTCCTCAGGTTTTCCATTGTCTGTCTGTTCCTGGAGGCTGGTCGGCTTTGCCGTTCATTATAGACGCTCTCAGAGGCTCTCCGGCGGGAATTTACAAGGATTTACGTAAATTAGGGACCTAACCTCTGGGGACACCAGTAAATTAGAGGCTTTAGCGCGTGAGGCAGGTGTAGGAGGAGACACTTGCTCGGTTCACTTACCATCACCGTTACCGGAGAAGTCGACCTTATGGCTGGCTGGTATACCACTGTCTTCCTGCCCACCCACATTACCCACACCCAGATGCTCGCTGAAGTGACTATGTTGTTGTTGTTGTTGTTTAAGATTCAGCTACTGGGAACTAAAAGTTGCAAGTAGCACGGGCTATGGTGAGCCCGTGATGGACTTACCTGGAGCGGGGCTGAAACTTGCGAAGTGACTATATAGGAGCTCCTTTCATATCTATATAATGTCACACACACATATTGTGTCCCATGATTTACAGTGTAACCCACCCATCAGTGTCTGAATTCCGTCCCCCTTTTTTTTTGAGGAAACAAATGGTTCAACTAAATTATATTTTCACCCTCGTGAGTAAGTCTATTGTGCTCTTTGAAAGTCAGGACTTCCGGCGTGATTACTCCCCTGATTTTTAACATTGCTTTCTCTTTCAATAGTGAGGGTTGACTGTGGCTGTGTTGTAGGGCTTCGACGTGTTCATCCCCTTTTGATATTTTCGTGTTTTGTTCCCCATAGCGCAGTAGCTGGAACTTATCCTCGTTAAACATCATGTTATTCTCTGTGGCCCCAATGAATGACCTGATTAACGTCAGATTGTGTGTGTGTGCTGCCGACCTCTATATTGTCTACTCACTTATAAGTCCTATAGTGTCATCTGCAAAGATGCTATATTATTATGTTTTGTATCTTGGTGTCTATGTCCGACATGAGGATGCGAAAATGCACCGGAGCACAGCACCCTGGGGGACTGAGCATAGTATCCTGGGGGGACTGAGCACAGTACCCTGGGGGGACTGAGCACAGTACACTGGGGGGACTGAGCACAGTACCCTGGGGGACTGAGCACAGTACCCTGGGGGGACTGAGCACAGTACCCTGGGGGGACTGAGCACAGTACCCTGGGGGACTGAGCACAGTACCCTGGGGGGACTGAGCACAGTACCCTGGGGGGACTGAGCACAGTACCCTGAGCACAGTACCCTGGGGGACTGAGCACAGTACCCTGGGGGGACTGAGCACAGTACCCTGGGGGGACTGAGCACAGTACCCTGGGGGACTGAGCACAGTACCCTGGGGGGACTGAGCACAGTACCCTGGGGGACTGAGCACAGTACCCTGGGGGGACTGAGCACAGTACCCTGGGGGACTGAGCACAGTACCCTGGGGGACTGAGCACAGTACCCTGGGGGGACTGAGCACAGTACCCGGGGGGACTGAGCACAGTACCCTGGGGGACTGAGCACAGTACCCTGGGGGACTGCGCACAGTACCCTGGGGGGACTGAGCACAGTACCCTGGGGGGACTGAGCACAGTACCCTGGGGGGACTGAGCACAGTACCCTGGGGGGACTGAGCACAGTTCCCTGGGGGGACTGAGCACAGTACCCTGGGGGGACTGAGCACAGTACCCTGGGGGGACTGAGCACAGTACCCTGGGGGGACTGAGCACAGTACCCTGGGGGGACTGAGCACAGTACCCTGGGGGGACTGAGCACAGTACCCTGGGGGACTGAGCACAGTACCCTGGGGGGACTGAGCACAGTACCCTGGGGGGACTGAGCACAGTACCCTGGGGGGACTGAGCACAGTACCCTGGGGGACTGAGCACAGTACCCTGGGGGGACTGAGCACAGTACCCTGGGGGGACTGAGCACAGTACCCTGGGGGGACTGAGCACAGTACCCTGGGGGGACTGAGCACAGTACCCTGGGGGGACTGAGCACAGTACCCTGGGGGACTGAGCACAGTACCCCGGGGGGACTGAGCACAGTACCCTGGGGGGACTGAGCACAGTACCCTGGGGGGACTGAGCACAGTACCCTGGGGGGACTGAGCACAGTACCCTGGGGGGACTGAGCACAGTACCCTGGGGGGACTGAGCACAGTACCCTGGGGGGACTGAGCACAGTACCCTGGGGGGACTGAGCACAGTACCCTGGGGGGACTGAGCACAGAACCCTGGGGGGACTGAGCACAGTACCCTGGGGGGACTGAGCACAGTACCCTGGGGGGACTGAGCACAGTACCCTGGGGGGACTGAGCACAGTACCCTGGGGGGACTGAGCACAGTACCCTGGGGGGACTGAGCACAGTACCCTGGGGGGACTGAGCACAGTACCCTGGGGGGACTGAGCACAGTACCCTGGGGGGACTGAGCACAGTACCCTGGGGGGACTGAGCACAGTACCCTGGGGGGACTGAGCACAGTACCCTGGGGGGACTGAGCACAGTACCCTGGGGGGACTGAGCACAGTACCCTGGGGGGACTGAGCACAGTACCCTGGGGGGACTGAGCACAGTACCCTGGGGGGACTGAGCACAGTACCCTGGGGGGACTGAGCACAGTACCCTGGGGGGACTGAGCACAGTACCCTGGGGGGACTGAGCACAGTACCTGGGGGACTGAGCACAGTACCCTGGGGGGACTGAGCACAGTACCCTGGGGGGACTGAGCACAGTACCTGGGGGGACTGAGCACAGGGGGGACTGAGCACAGTACCCTGGGGGGACTGAGCACAGTACCCTGGGGGGACTGAGCACAGTACCCTGGGGGGACTGAGCACAGTACCCTGGGGGGACTGAGCACAGTACCCTGGGGGGACTGAGCACAGTACCCTGGGGGGACTGAGCTGACACCCTGGGGGGACTGAGCACAGTACCCTGGGGGGACTGAGCACAGTACCCTGGGGGGACTGAGCACAGTACCCTGGGGGGACTGAGCACAGTACCCTGGGGGGACTGAGCACAGTACCCTGGGGGGACTGAGCACAGTACCATGGGGGGACTGAGCACAGTACCCTGGGGGGACTGAGCACAGTACCCTGGGGGGACTGAGCACAGTACCCCTGGGGGACTGAGCACAGTACCCTGGGGGGACTGAGCATAGTACCCCTGGGGGACTGAGCACAGTACCCTGAGGGGACTGAGCACAGTACCCTGGGGGACTGAGCACAGTACCCTGGGGGACTGAGCACAGTACCCTGGGGGGACTGAGCACAGTACCCTGGGGGACTGAGCACAGAACCCTGGGGGGACTGAGCACAGTACCCTGGGGGGACTGAGCACAGTACCCTGGGGGGACTGAGCACAGTACCCTGGGGGGACTGAGCACAGTACCCTGGGAGGACTGAGCACAGTACCCTGGGGGGACTGAGCACAGTACCCTGGGGGGACTGAGCACAGTACCCTGGGGGGACTGAGCACAGTACCCTGGGGGGACTGAGCACAGTACCATGGGGGGACTGAGCACAGTACCATGGGGGGACTGAGCATAGTACCCCTGGGGGACTGAGCACAGTACCCTGAGGGGACTGAGCATAGTACCCCTGGGGGACTGAGCACAGTACCCTGAGGGGACTGAGCACAGTACCCTGGGGGACTGAGCACAGTACCCTGGGGGACTGAGCACAGTACCCTGGGGGACTGAGCACAGTACCCTGAGGGGACTGAGCACAGTACCCTGGGGGACTGAGCACAGTACCCGGGGGGGACTGAGCACAGTACCCTGAGGGGACTGAGCACAGTACCCTGGGGAACTGAGCACAGTACCCTGGGGGGACTGAGCACAGTACCCTGGGGGGACTGAGCACAGTACCCTGGGGGACTGAGCACAGTACCCTGGGGGACTGAGCACAGTACCCTGGGGGGACTGAGCACAGTACCCTGAGGGGACTGAGCACAGTACCCTGGGGGACTGAGCACAGTACCCCCAGGGTACTGTGCTCAGGCAGTAACGTGTCAGGCAACAACGTGTCAGGCAGTAACGTGTCAGGCAACAACGTGTCAGGCAACAACGTGTCAGGCAGTAACGTGTCAGGCAGCAACGTGTCAGGCAGCAACGTGTCAGGGAACAACGTGTCAGGCAGCAACGTGTCAGGCAACAACGTGTCAGGCAGTAACGTGTCAGGCAACAACGTGTCAGGCAGCAACGTGTCAGGGAACAACGTGTCAGGCAACAACGTGTCAGGCAGTAACGTGTCAGGCAGCAACGTGTCAGGGAACAACGTGTCAGGCAGCAACGTGTCAGGGAACAACGTGTCAGGCAGCAACGTATCAGGCAACAACGTGTCAGGCAGCAACGTGTCAGGGAACAACGTGTCAGGCAGCAACGTGTCAGGCAGTAACGTGTCAGGCAGCAACGTGTCAGGGAACAACGTGTCAGGCAACAACGTATCAGGGAACAACGTGTCAGGCAGCAACGTGTCAGGCAGTAACGTGTCAGGCAACAAAGTGTCAGGGAACAACGTGTCAGGCAGCAACGTGTCAGGCAACAACGTGTCAGGCAGCAACGTGTCAGGCAGCAACGTGTCAGGGAACAACGTATCAGGGAACAACGTGTCAGGCAGCAACGTGTCAGAGAACAACGTGTCAGGCAGCAACGTGTCAGGCAACAACGTATCAGGGAACAACGTGTCAGGCAGTAACGTGTCAGGCAACAACGTATCAGGCAACAACGTGTCAGGCAGCAACGTGTCAGGGAACAACGTGTCAGGCAGCAACGTGTCAGGCAGCAACGTGTCAGGGAACAACGTGTCAGGCAGCAACGTGTCAGGCAACAACGTATCAGGCAACAACGTGTCAGGGAACAACGTGTCAGGCAGCAACGTGTCAGGCAACAACGTATCAGGCAACAACGTGTCAGGGAACAACGTGTCAGGCAGCAACGTGTCAGGGAACAACGTGTCAGGCAGCAACGTGTCAGGCAGTAACGTGTCAGGCAGCAACGTGTCAGGCAGCAGCAGCACTACACACTTCCCAGGTGTCACAAGCACATCTCTTTACTTCGTCCTGCGAAATGTAAAATTGTCTCGCAACTTGAAAATGCCTGGAATACTGATGTCGCTCCTGCTGGCGAGGACCAGCTTCCTGAGCACTGTTGGTGCACAATACTGGTGACGTCGCTGCCTGGCGAGGACCTATCTTCCTGAGCAGTGTTGGTGCACAATACTGGTGACGTCGTTCCTGCTGGTGAGGACCTGCTTCCTGAGCAGTGTTGGTGCACAATACTGGTGACGTCGCTGCCTGGCGAGGACCAGCTTCCTGAGCAGTGTTGGTGCACAATACTGGTGACGTCGCTGCCTGGCGAGGACCAGCTCCCTGAGCAGTGTTGGTACACAATACTGGTGACGTCGCTGCCTGGCGAGGACCAGCTTCCTGAGCAGTGTTGGTGCACAATACTGGTGACGTCGCTGCCTGGCGAGGACCAGCTTCCTGAGCAGTGTTGGTACACAATACTGGTGACGTCGCTGCCTGGCGAGGACCAGCTTCCTGAGCACTGTTGGTGCACAATACTGGTGACGTCGCTGCCTGGCGAGGACCAGCTTCCTGAGCACTGTTGGTGCACAATACTGGTGACGTCGCTGCCTGGCGAGGACCAGCTTCCTGAGCACTGTTGGTGCACAATACTGGTGACGTCGCTGCCTGGCGAGGACCAGCTTCCTGAGCACTGTTGGTGCACAATACTGGTGACGTCGCTGCCTGGTGAGGACCAGCCTCCTGAGCAATGTTGGTGCACAATACTGACGTCATTACATCAAGACACTAAAGTGCTCCCCTGAACGGGGTGAGGATAGCTTCAGCTACCTCATCTTTGTGTGTGTGTCTTTGTACCTCAATAAACGTATTTAAATTCGAATTTGAGGTTCTCCCTAGAGTGGAAGGCTTCCCACATTAAGTACCATTCACAGCTGGAGAAACTTAAAGCAGCATTCAGGACATTATAACATCAACACTCAAGATATACTTATATCTGTATGCAAGATATAACCACAGAAGTATACAAAGCATAATTACAGCAGGATGCAAGACATACAGCCAACAATACAGAGCACCACTGGTGATTCATCACTGTCTTCCGTCAGTAAAGAATTGATTAATTAACTGATAAATATTATATATATTTATATCTGGCGTTCTAACACTAAGGTATTTTGCGAAACATAAATGCTGTATTTATTTAATCTGTGGGTTAGCCTAATAATCTCAGCTCGACTACCTAACAGGTATCAAACCGGAGAAGACAAGGCTCTCTGACCAAAAAGAAACTAAGCTTAAGGTCAGCAGCTAGGTTGGTGTTCTCTGGGTCTTAAGTCTCATTGAAAATACCTCCCTTTCCCACCCTCCCGCGGAAAGTTAAGAAATGCTCCAACTGGTAACTGAATATATGATATAAAGTTATAAGCAAAGAGTATATAAATATATCCGCACACAATCACTCCCTAGTTTCCGCCCCAACAACTCTTCCACCAACACTGGAACAGGAGCCAGTGGTGCGGTACACAGGTTTATGCTGGCGTGCTGGTGCTTGTCTAAGGTTGTCTCTCCTTAACAACTGTGCATGGTGAAGGGCAGAGGTCAGTGACGCACCGTGACACACACACACACACACACACACACACACACACACACACACACACACACACACACACACACACACACACACACACACACACACACACACACACAAACACACACGACTCTTTACAATACCTGACTGTGTGGTTAAATACGTGACTCCTCAACTCCTCAACATATGACTTGGTTGACCAAACAGGAAAACTTCCTACCTCCCGACACCTACACCCTACAGGCATACAAGACATGACTGTAGGGTGTAGGTGTACACCAGGGAGAGGCCTACACTGCGGTAGGCCTCTCAGCCTATTGGTGTTAGCTCCCAGCCTACCCTAAAGCCAAAGAGTGACCCCCTTCTTCCTCCCCCTCCTTCCCCCTCAAGTTGCAGGTTACAGCAGGTTAAACAGGTTACATCTGTATCCTTTCGACGATTCCAAGGATCAATGTCACAGCTGTCCGGTCTCTGACCAGGCCTCCTGGTTGGGAGTCCGGTCAACCAGACTGTTGGAACGGGAAGAGGTCAGGGAGTCTGCATGGTGTCTCGTTCACTGTCTTGCTAGCTCTGGCAGGTCACTGGTTCAGTTACTGCTGCACCGTCTCCGTTTTCTCTCAGTACATGTGGTTGGTTACCTGGTCAGTCCGTTCTCTCTGGTGGCCAGTTAGAGAAAATACAACCGGTGGCCCTAACCGGAAACGGACGGACCTACCTAACCGGTTCAACCATGATGACGAACAGGTACGTCAGAGGTACGTTCGTACCTGACGGAACAGGTACGTCAGGGCAGGTACGGACACCTGCTCTGACGGGGGTCACCGGGACAGGTGAAACCGTCGGGCCGCCATATTGACGTCAGAGATTCTTAAACGTTCAGACTGGTACGACGCCTGGGGTGCTGACTCCCTGGGGTCACAGGGAACGCCCTGGGGTCACAGGGAACGTCTGACCACGTGCGGCACGAGGGCCGTCATGGACCCTAAGTCATCAGCTACTGAACCTATCGAGGCCGAAACGTTAATATTACGATGATATAATTTTTAACCAACACGTCGCATTTTTTATGACTTGCTCGATTATATAATAAATACATCAACGAGCAGTGATGGTAACATCTTTTAAACACCCGCAACACAGTAGCAACTAAGACGATGAAGGGAACACCTGAACAACAACGTGAACAATCCCTAGCAAGACGTGAACAATCCCAAGCAAGACGTGAACAATCCCAAGCAAGACGTGAACAATCCCAAGCAAGACGTGAACAATCCCAAGCAAGACGTGAACAATCCCAAGCAAGACGTGAACAATCCCAAGCAAGACGTGAACAATCCCAAGCAAGACATGAACAATCCCTAGCAAGACGTGAACAATCCCTAGCAAGACGTGAACAATCCCAAGCAAGACGTGAACAATCCCAAGCAAGACGTGAACAATCCCAAGCAAGACGTGAACAATCCCAAGCAAGACGTGAACAATCCCAAGCAAGACGTGAACAATCCCAACACAACTACTGTCACCACTCACGCGCACAACACAAAAATCCCAACACAATGCACCACACATAACACAAAATATACATATTTTGTATCTCATACGGTGACAGGGATGACACCGTATGAGGCTGACGCCATACACAGTTTCAAATGTAGATATGATAGAGCCCAGTAGGCTCAGGAACCTGTACACCAGTTGATTGACAGTTGAGAGGCGGGACCAAAGAGCCAAAGTTCAACTCCCGCAAGCACAACCAGGTGAGTACAACTAGGTAAGTACACACGTACACGTACACACACACGAACAAATAATGGAGACGGCATTTAGCTGTGCTTCAGGTAAAAGTCCGCGTCTGTTACCCCCTGCCCGTGCGTGTATGTGAGTGTGCGTGCATGCGTGCGTGTGTGTACCACCTACTTGTGGTAAAGTTGGAGTTGAGCTTCAACTCACTGATCCCGCTTCTCAACTGTCAATCAACTGGTGTACAAATTCCTGAGCCTACTGGGTGGTCTCATATCTATATTTCTGAAATAAGAGCGAAATACAGAAAGCACAGACGGTACGCCTAGCAACCCGTCCTCAGTCTATGTTCATTCCATCCAGCGGTCGACCCCAAAGACGCATTCATCAATTTTAACATGCTGTTCATTAAAAACAGAAATTTTCTCCAATATAAATTAATATTATTATTATATATAAGCGTATTGTGCATATTTAGGCATTGGTTAGGTTAGGTTATGTGTTTAAGTTCTGTTTGCGCTTATTTGCAGTACGTGGGTGAAACATTTACAGCTTTGTGGTTGGAACAAAAGTCGTCAGTAAAGCACTTCTTCCGGAAGTGTTCGGACATCATCAGTTGTGAATCGTGTGTAAACCGTTTTTAATCATAAAAAAGGTTTGGCGGATGCATATAATCACTTTTGGCCTTTATTTATGAGGACGGGCTCCATAGACACGATAAAACCCCTAAACTATTGAGATCGTGTTAAAGCTCTCAAAATGCACTCTCTGGAAAGGAGACGAGAAAGGTTTCAAATAATATATACTGGAAGGACAAGTCCCAAATTGTGCAGAAGAATAACAACATACTGGAGCGAAAGATACGGAAGGAAATGCAGAATAGAACCAGTGAGGAGTAAAGGGGTGCCATAGGCACAATGAGAGAGCACTGTGTGAACATCAGAGGTCCGCGGCTGTTCAATACCCTCCTAGCCTTAGAAATATTGCTGAACAATGGTGGACTTCGTCAGGAGTTAATTAGATAAGTTCCTACAAGACGTCCCGGACCAACCAATCTGTAGTGGATATGTGGGCCTGCGGACCGCTTGAAGCAACAACCTGTTGGACCAAGGTATCGCAAGTCGAGGTCCGGAGAAGAGAACAACTCTGTGAACCCTCTCCAGGTAAACTCCAGGTAAAGCTAATTTAATGGAGAGACCTACGCACAGAAAATGTTAATGTTTGTGAGCCGCTTTGATTTATAGTACATCATATTTTGTCCGTTGGGGGATTTTAACGCCAAAAAGCAATATATTATTTGAGAAGACAGGTTGATGAGACGTGCAAAAGCTAAGACAGTGATTAAATTAATTAATTAATTAATTAATTTTTTTCTGCCAAACAGAAAGTGGGAAGACTGACGGAATCAGACTGAAGGACGCCATATTGTTTACGAAGACTGGGGCCAGTCAGGGAGTGTCACGAGGTGTCACGTGACAAGAGGCCAGTCAGGGAGTGTCACGAGGTGTCACGTGACAAGAGGCCAGTCAGGGAGTGTCACGAGGTGTCACGGGACAAGAGGCCAGTCAGGGAGTGTCACGAGGTGTCACGTGACAAGAGGCCAGTCAGGGAGTGTCACGAGGTGTCACGTGACAAGAGGCCAGTCAGGGAGTGTCACGAGGTGTCACGTGACAAGAGGCCAGTCAGGGAGTGTCACGAGGTGTCACGGGACAAGAGACCAGCCTGGCACTTCCCACACCGTGACGGAAGCTGCCACCACGGACGGCTGTGAAGGTTGACGTTCCTCTTTGTCAAGACATTTGGTAGGTGGTCAGGTGAGGGCCAGGCTGTGTGTGTGTGTGTGTGTGTGACCAGCAACACACCTGGGAGGGTAGCCTAGGCTGGCGCACAAACTCACTCACTCACACACACACACACACACACACACACACACACACACACACACACACACACACACACACACACACACACACACACACACACACACCACACACACACACACACACACACACACACACACACACACACACACACACAGAGCTGGTCCTCCACCCTCGTGCTCTGTGTCCTCACCTATGTCCTCTGTGACACTAGGAGGCCAGGGCTTGTGGCACAACCCCCACATCTCCCACACCACCCCTACACCCACACCACCCCCTACACCCACACCACCTAACCCACCATCTCTACATTCAGCCCATCAAAACTCCACCCACCTCCACACCAACCGCACCGCCTCCACCCCACCACCTGTAAACCCACCCCACCACCCCCCCGCCCACCACGCCCACCCCTCCCTCACCCCCACCAACAGCTGCTGTGAACGAACACGCGCCAGCCACCTCATAAATCCAGTCGGCTTTACCCTGCATGCTGAATTCGAGAACCAGATCCCAGGATTTGAGACAGCTTTGTGAAGGCCAGTGGTGTGGGCGGCCAACCCTTCCTCAGACTATGGCTCCACCAAACTGCCCCCGAACCCAACACATCCTCGGACTAAGATCGTTCAAGCTGCGGCCCCTCCCCCAAATTGTCATATATATTATAAATTTAAATAAAGTTAATCCTGTTATTTGGGTGTTTTAAACACCCAAACTAAACGAATCTAACCTACCCTCCCTAGGCCTACTACACGATATCTGAGGCCTAATATAGTACACATGTGTACTATACTAGGCCTAGGAATACTTACGTTTGTGTTTTAGCTTCATATATTTTAAAAGAATTCCTTACTAGTCAGTATACTACTGTCTAAAAGCTAAGAACGTACGAATTCGTGACTATTGACGACCGTCACAATAGGTACTGTCTAGATAGGAGGACGGGTTGGATTCGAACATAAGAAGTGTGCGAAATAATGTATTGGAGTACAACAGCCCGTCCTCACTAACACCAGCCCGTCCTCACTAACACCAGCCCGTCCTCACTAACACCAGCCCGTCCTCACTAACACCAGCCCGTCCTCACTAACACCAGCCCGTCCTCACTAACACCAGCCCGTCCTCACTAACACCAGCCCGTCCTCACTAACACCAGCCCGTCCTCACTAACACCAGTCCGTCCTCACTAACACCAGCCCGTCCTCACTAACACCAGCCCGTCCTCACTAACAACAGCCCGTCCTCACTAACAACAGTCCGTCCTCACTAACGCCAGCCCGTCCTCACTAACACCAGCCCGTCCTCACTAACAACAGCCCGTCCTCACTAACAACAGTCCGTCCTCACTAACACCAGCCCGTCCTCACTAACACCAGCCCGTCCTCACTAACAACAGCCCATCCTCACTAACAACAGTCCGTCCTCACTAACAACAGTCCGTCCTCACTAACACCAGCCCGTCCTCACTAACAACAGTCCGTCCTCACTAACACCAGCCCGTCCTCACTAACACCAGCCCGTCCTCACTAACACCAGCCCGTCTTCACTAACGCCAGCCCGTCCTCACTAACACCAGCCCGTCCTCACTAACAACAGCCCGTCCTCACTAACAACAGTCCGTCCTCACTAACACCAGCCCGTCCTCACTAACACCAGCCCGTCCTCACTAACACCAGCCCGTCTTCACTAACACCAGCCCGTCCTCACTAACACCAGTCCGTCCTCACTAACACCAGCCCGTCCTCACTAACAACAGTCCGTCCTCACTAACACCAGCCCGTCCTCACTAACACCAGCCCGTCCTCACTAACACCAGTCCGTCCTCACTAACACCAGCCCGTCCTCACTAACAACAGTCCGTCCTCACTAACACCAGCCCGTCCTCACTAACACCAGCCCGTCCTCACTAACACCAGCCCGTCCTCACTAACACCAGCCCGTCCTCACTAACACCAGCCCGTCCTCACTAACACCAGCCCGTCCTCACTAACACCAGTCCGTCCTCACTAACACCAGCCCGTCCTCACTAACAACAGTCCGTCCTCACTAACACCAGCCCGTCCTCACTAACACCAGCCCGTCCTCACTAACACCAGCCCGTCCTCACTAACACCAGCCCGTCCTCACTAACACCAGCCCGTCCTCACAAATAAAGACCAAATACAGGGTAATCCAGCAGCCAAACACTACAGACAGGCCTCGACGGCTCTCCAACAACGCTACACGCTTCCTTCCAGTGTTCGTATCCCACCTCTGTCCGTGTTTCAGCCGTCCTTATCAACAAAGGGTAAATGTTCATTCTATACAGCCGCCCAACACCTTATTTATACATGGAAAACGCTTTACACTCGACTCACAACGGACAACGTTCGAACATGTCTCGAACAGTGCGTCGCTGACGACCTCTGTTCGAATTGCAGTTCAGTAAATGCTTCACCCACGTTCTACAAATACAAATATTTGCTAACAGGGCCTAATCACCAAAATTAACCTATGCCTGACGGGCCCCTGACAGCTGAATGGACAGCGCATCGGATTCGTAGTCCTGAGGTTCCGGGTTCGATCCCTGGTGGAGGCGGAGACAAATGGGCAAAATGTTTCTTTCACCCTGATGCACCTGTTACCTAGTAGTAAATAGGTACCTGGGAGTTAGAAAGCTGCTACGGGCTGCTTCCTGGGGGATGTGTAACAAACAGGAGGCCTGGTCGAGGACCGGGCCGCGCGGACGCTAAGCCCTGAAAT